CATATTTTGGGTAGTGGGGTGAATGTGGGGTGAATGTGAACGGGGTGAATGTGGGGTGCTTTGGATGCACAGCAATGTGGTGTGAGCTGCATAGGAAGGGCGTCTCCAACAACTCACACACCCAAAACATAAAACAGGCCCCAGCAAGACAAAAACGAGTGGAATACCCCAACAAGAAATATATACAGGTGTGGTGAGGTGCCCCCCCCCCCCCCCCGGAGAATCGGGAATATACAGGACAGACGAGGAGGGAGCCCAAAGACCCATTTCTTGTGTCTCTTCTGGGATTCCTATTCTGTAACTGAAGGTGATACCAGAATGGGCCAATCATAAACCAGAACATGGCGACAAGTCAACCGTTGACACGCTCCCTGGTCAATAGTCTGCACCCCCTTAGTCCTCAATCCTGTGTAGCGCCCCCTTCAGCATCAATGGCAGCGTGCCGTCCTCTGTAATAGTCTATGAGGCCCCCGAATTCTTGCCGGTGGTGGAGCCGCCCATTCGTCTCGGCACAACGCCTCCAGGCCATGCAAAGCCTTTGGTGGTCTTCCATGAACCGAATGTTGGAGACCCCCCCAGAGCGGCTCGATATTAACCCCTCGCCTACCGAGCACTTTTACCCCCTTCCTGCCCAGGAACATTTGTCAGCTTTCAGTGCTGTTGCACTTTGAATAACAATTGCGCGGTCATGCAACACTGGACCCACACTAAAATGTATTATTTTTTGGAGACACATAGAGCTTTCTTTTGGTGGTATTTAATGACCGCTGGGGGGGGGGGGTTTTTTGCTAAACAAATGAAAAAAATCCCAAAATATTGAAAAACAAACGTTTTTCTTAGTTTCTGTCATAAAGTTTTGTAAATAAGTGATTTTTTTTCTCCTTCACTGATGGGCACTGATGAGGCTGCACTGGTATGCGGCACTGATAGGCATTGATAGGTGGCACTGATGGGCACTGATAGGTGACATTGATAGGAGGCACTGATGGGCACTGATGAGTCTGCACTGATGAGGCTGCACCAGTATGCGGCACTGATAGGCATTGATAGGAGGCACTGATGGGCACTGATAGGTGGCACTGATAGGTGGGAATGATAGGCATTGATAGGCGGGCACTGATGGGCACTGATGAGTCTGCACTGATGAGGCTTCGCCAGTATGCAGCACTGATAGGCATTGATAGGAGGCACTGATGGGCACTGATGAGGATGCACTGATGAGGCTGCACTGATGAGGCTGCACCAGTATGCGGCACTGATAGGCATTGGTAGGAGGCACTGATGGGCACTGTTAGGTGGCACTGATAGGTGGCACCGATGGGTATTGTTGGGTACTGATGGGCACTATTGGCTGCACTGATGGGCACTGATAGGTAGCACTGATGGTCACTGATAGGTGGCATTGATAGGAGGCACTGATGGGCACTGATGAGTCTGCAATGATGAGGCTGCACCAGAATGCGGCACTGATAGGCATTGTTAGGAGGCACTGATGGGCACTGATATGTGGGACTGATAGGCGGCACTGATGGGTATTGTTGGGTACTGATGGGCACTATTGGCTGCACTGATGGGCACTGATAGGTAGCACTGATGAGTCTGCAATGATGAGGCTGCACCAGAATGCGGCACTGATAGGCATTGATAGGAGGCACTGATAGGCATTGATAGGAGGCACTGATGGGCACTGATAGGTGGGACTGATAGGCGGCACTGATGGGCACTGATGAGTCTGCACTGATGCGGCTGCACCAGAATGCGGCACTGATAGGCATTGATAGGAGGCACTGATGGGCAGATAGGTGGGACTGATAGGCGGCACTGATGGGTATTGTTGGGTACTGATGGGCACTATTGGCTGCACTGATGGGGCTACGCTGATCAAAAGCGTACTGATAATCAGTATAGATGTCCCCTGAGAAATGGTGCTTAGCGGCTCTCCTCCCTCTCCTCCTGCGCTCTCAGCATCAGGAGAGGACTGCCAATAACCGGCATTTCCTATTTACACTGTGATCAGCTGGGATTGGACACAGCTGGCCACATGGTAAAAGGCGGCTCTGATTGGCCTTTTACCTGGACACGTGATCAGTTGTCCGCATCACAGATCATGCGTGGTGTGCGCCCCAGGGGGTGTGGTTCTGGGAGGACACCCTCCATGGACACCCTCCCAGAACTAGCTAACTGCGCTGATGTGGGGGGTGGAGACTTCTGACCTGGGGGCGGAGACTTCTGATCTGGGGGGTGGAGACTTCTGACCTGGGGGCAGAGACTTCTGATCCAGGGGTGGAGACTTCTGACCTGGAGGGCGGAGACTTCTGATCCAGGGGTGGAGACTTCTGACCTGGAGGGCGGAGACTTCTGATCAGGGCCATTTGGGGGATTTCTGTTATTATTAGGATTTAAAAAGGAGCCAAACAATCGTGATTATACATGGCGTCACATGATCACCGTCCTTCCATGACATCATCAGACAGATTTTCATCATCAATGCCAAAATGTCCCCATTTCTGCCAGAGGAGGGAGACTTTTCAGCACAACTGTATATACACACCGCCCCCCCCCCCCCCCAACATATACTTACATACACTATATTCCCCCAAGTATTGGGCCGCCGGCCTTTCCACACACATGACCTTTAATGGCCCCCCCAGTCTCAGTCCGTAGGGTTCAATATTGAGTTGGCCCCGCCCTTTCCACGCACACGACCTTTAATGCCCCCCCAGTCGTAGTCTGTAGGGTTCAATATTGAGTTGGCCCCGCCCTTTCCCCACACACGACCTTTAATGGCCCCCCAGTCGTAGTCTGTAGGGTTCAATATTGAGTTGGCCCCGCCCTTTCCACACACATGACCTTTAATGGCCCCCCAGTCTTAGTCCGTAAGGTTCAATATTGAGTTGGCCCCGCCCTTTCCATACACATGAACTTTAATAGCCCCCCAGTCTTAGTCCCTAGGGTTCAATATTGAGTTGGCCCCGCCCTTTCCACACACATGACCTTTAATGGCCCCCAGTCTTAGTCCGTAGGGTTCAATATTGAGTTGGCCCCGCCCTTTCCACACACATGACCTTTAATGGCCCCCCAGTCTTAGCCCGTAGGGTTCAATATTGAGTTGGCCCCGCCCTTTCCACACACATGACCTTTAATGGCCCCCCAGTCTTAGTCCCTAGGGTTCAATATTGAGTTGGCCCCGCCCTTTCCACACACATGACCTTTAATGGCCCCCCCAGTCTTAGTCCGTAGGGTTCAATATTGAGTTGGCCCCGCCCTTTCCACACACATGACCTTTAATGGCCCCCCAGTCTTAGCCCGTAGGGTTCAATATTGAGTTGGCCCCGCCCTTTCCACACACATGACCTTTAATGGCCCCCCCAGTCTTAGTCCGTAGGGTTCAATATTGAGTTGGCCCCGCCCTTTCCACACACATGACCTTTAATGGCCTCCCAGTCTTAGTCCGTGGGGTTCAATATTGAGTTGGCCCCGCCCTTTCCAAGCACATGACCTTTAATAGCCCCCCAGTCTTAGTCCGTAGGGTTCAATATTGAGTTGGCCCCGCCCTTTCCACACACATGACCTTTAATGGCCCCCCCAGTCTTAGTCCGTAGGGTTCAATATTGAGTTGGCCCCGCCCTTTCCAAGCACATGACCTTTAATAGCCCCCCAGTCTTAGTCCGTAGGGTTCAATATTGAGTTGGCCCCGCCCTTTCCCCACACATGACCTTTAATGGCCCCCCAGTCTTAGTCCGTAGGGTTCAATATTGAGTTGGCCCCGCCCTTTCCCCACACATGACCTTTAATGGCCCCCCAGTCTTAGTCCGTAGGGTTCAATATTGAGTTGGCCCCGCCCTTTCCACACACATGACCTTTAATGGCCCCCAGTCTTAGTCCGTAGGGTTCAATATTGAGTTGGCCCCGCCCTTTGCAGCTATAACAGCTTCAACTCTTCTGGGAAGGCCGTCCACAAGGTTTAGGAGGGTGTCTATGGGAAGGTGGACCATTCTTCCAGAAGCACATTTGTCAGGTCAGGCACTGATGTCGGGGGAGGGGCACTGATGTCGGGGGAGGGGGCCTGGCTCGCAGTCTCCGCTCTAATTCATCCCAAAGGTGTTCTATGGGGTTGAGGTCAGGACTCTGTGCAGGACAGTCAAGTTCCTCCACCCCAAACTGGCTCCTCCATGTCTTTTATGGACCTTGCTTTGTGCACTGGGGGGCAGTCATGTTGGAACAGGAAGGAGCCATCCCTAAACTCCTCCCACAAAGTTGGGAGCATGAAATTGTCCGAAATGTCGCCTTAAGAGTTCCCTTCACTGGAACTAGGGGGCCAAGCCCAACCCCTGAAAAACACCCCAACACCATAATCCCCCCTCCACCAAACTGTACACTTGGCACAATGCAGTCAGGCAAGTACCGTTCTCCTGGTCACCGCCAAACACAGACACGTCCATCGGATTGCCAGACAGAGAAGCGTGATTGGTCCCTCCAGAGAACACGCCTCCTCTGCTCTAGAGTCCAGTGGCGGCGTGCTTTACACCACGGCATCCGACGCTTTGCATTGCACTTGGTGATGGAAGGCTTGGATGCAGCTGCTCGGCCATGGAAACCCATTCCATGAAGCTCTCTACGCACTGTTGTTGGGCTCATCTGAAGGCCACACCAAGTTTGGAGGTCTTTAGCTATTGACTCTGCAGACAGTTGGTGACTTCTGCGCACTGTGCGCTTCAGCATGTGCTGACCCCGCCCTGTCATGTGACGTGGCCTACCACTTGGTGGCTGAGTGGCTGTTGTTCCCAGTTGCTTCCACTTTGTTATAATCCCACTAACAGTTGAGCGTGGAATATTTAGTAGCCAGGAAATGTCACGGATGGACTTATTGCCCAGGTGGCCACCTATCACGGGACCACGCTTGGAGCCACTGAGCTCCTGAGAGCGACCCATTCTTTCACCAATGTTTGTAGAAGCCGTCTGCATGCCTAGGGGCTTGATTGTATACACCTGTGTCCATGGAGGGGATTGGAGCACCTGAATCACATGATATGGAGGGGATTGGAACACCTGAATCACATGATGTGGAGGGGATTGGAACACCTGAATCACATGATGTGGAGGGGATTGGAACACCTGAATCACATGATATGGAGGGGATTGGAACACCTGAATCACATGATTGGGAGGGGATTGGAACACCTGAATCACATGATAAGGAGGTGATTGGAACACCTGAATCACATGATATGGAGGGGATTGGAACACCTGAATCACATGATATGGAGGGGATTGGAACACCTGAATCACATGATTGGAGGGGATTGGAACACCTGAATCACATGATTGGGAGGGGATTGGAACACCTGAATCACATGATATGGGGGGGATTGGAAAACCTAAATCACATGATATGGAGGGGATTGGAGCACCTGAATCACATGATATGGGGGGATTGGAAAATCTGAATCACATGATATGGGGGGAGGGGACAATATTTGGGGCAATATAGTGTATATATACTAACCCTAAAACTCCAACCAGCCAAAACAGAAGTCCATTATTTTCCTTTCACTGTAACATGCTGGGACATGTAGTCCTCCAGTAATGATTTTGGAGTAACACATGGGCCTCCGAGGTAAAATACGGCTCCCCTCCCCCTCACATTCCTCCGGCTCTACAGGGAAGGTTTGCTCAGCTGTTCCTGGTTCTGGTGTCCCCTCCCCCTCCCTCATGGAGGACCCTGAAATAAGGACTGTCCGTGTTCCTGGTTCTGGTGTCCCCCCCCCTCCCCCTGTATGGAGGATCCTGAAATAAGGCCTGTCCGTGTTCCTGGTTCTGGTGTCCCCCTCCCCCTCCCTCATGGAGGACCCTGAAATAAGGACTGTCCGTGTTCCTGGTTCTGGTGTCCCCCCCCCCTCCCATGTATGGAGGACCCTGAAATAAGGACTGTCCGTGTTCCTGGTTCTGGTGTCCCCCTCCTCCCTCATGGAGGAGGACCCTGAAATAAGGCCTGTCCGTGTTCCTGGTTCTGGTGTCCCCTCCCCCTCCCTCATGGAGGACCCTGAAATAAGGACTGTCCGTGTTCCTGGTTCTGGTGTCCCCCCCCTCCCATGTATGGAGGACCCTGAAATAAGGACTGTCCGTGTTCCTGGTTCTGGTGTCCCCTCCCCCTCCCTCATGGAGGACCCTGAAATAAGGACTGTCCGTGTTCCTGGTTCTGGTGTCCCCTCCCCCTCCCTCATGGAGGATCCTGAAATAAGGACTGTCCGTGTTCCTGGTTCTGGTGTCCCCTCCCCCTCCCCATGGAGGACCCTGAAATAAGGACTGTCCGTGTTCCTGGTGTCCCCTCCCCCTCCCTCATGTATGGAGGACCCTGAAATAAGGACTGTCCGTGTTCCTGGTTCTGGTGTCCCCCTCCCCCTCCCATGTCATGGAGGACCCTGAAATAAGGACTGTCCGTGTTCCTGGTTCTGGTGTCCCCTCCCCCTCCCTCATGGAGGACCCTGAAATAAGGACTGTCCGTGTTCCTGCTTCTGGTGTCCCCTCCCCCTCCCTCATGGAGGATCCTGAAATAAGGACTGTCCGTGTTCCTGGTTCTGGTGTCCCCCCCCCCCTCCCCAGGAGGAAGTGAAATAAGGACTGTCCGTGTTCCTGGTTCTGGTGTCACCCTCCCCCTCCCTCATGGACGGTTTCTATGGACTGTCCGTGTTCCTGGTTATTGTCCCCTCAGATCCCCCTGATGGGATCCGGGACATAAGGCCTGTCCGTGTTCCTGGTTCTGGGTCCCCTCCCCCTCCCCCTCATGGAGGACCCTGAACTAAGGACTGTCCGTGTTCCTGTACTATCACCAGAGTCCCCATCCCCCTCCCATGTATGGAGGACTCTGAAATAAGGACTGTCCGTGTTCCTGGTTCCCCCTGTACCCCTCCCCCCATGGAGGATCCGGGACATCCCCGTGTACTATTCCTGGTTCTGGGACATTCCCTCATGGAGGATCCTGAACTAAGGACTGTCCGTGTACTTCACCAGAGCCGGGTCCCCCCCCCTATCCCAGAGACCCTGAATAAGGACTGTCACCGTGTAGCTTCTGGGTCCCCTCCCCCTCCCATGTACTTTACTATCCAGGAAGTGAAGAAGAATCTTCCCAATGGGGACACAGAGGTTGTCGGAGCCGGGACATCCCCGTGTACTATCACCGGAGCCGGGACATCCCCGTGTACTATCACCGGAGCCGGGACATTCCCCGTGTACTATCACCGGAGCCGGGACATCCCCGTGTACTATCACCGGAGCCGGGACATCCCCGTGTACTATCACCAGAGCCGGGACATCCCCGTGTACTATCACCAGAGCCGGGACATCCCCGTGTACTATCACCAGAGCCGGGACATCCCCGTGTACTATCACCAGAGCCGGGACATCCCCGTGTACTATCACCGGAGCCGGGACATCCCCGTGTACTATCCCCGGAGCCGGGACATCCCCGTGTACTATCACCAGAGCCGGGACATCCCCGTGTACTATCCCCGGAGCCGGGACATCCCCGTGTTACTATCACCGGAGCCGGGACATCCCCGTGTACTATCACGGAGCCGGGACATCCCCGTGTACTATCACCGGAGCCGGGACATCCCCGTGTACTATCACCGGAGCCGGGACATCCCCGTGTACTATCACCGGAGCCGGGACATCCCCGTGTACTATCACCAGAGCCGGGACATCCCCGTGTACTATCACCAGAGCCGGGACATCCCCGTGTACTATCACCGGAGCCGGGACATCCCCGTGTACTATCACCAGAGCCGGGACATCCCCGTGTACTATCACCAGAGGGGACATCCCCGTGTACTATCACCAGAGCCGGGACATCCCCGTGTACTATCACCAGAGCCGGGACATCCCCGTGTACTATCACCGGAGCCGGGACATCCCCGTGTACTATCACCGGAGCCGGGACATCCCCGTGTACTATCACCGGAGCCGGGACATCCCCGTGTACTATCACCGGAGCCGGGACATCCCCGTGTACTATCACCCCGGAGCCGGGACATCCCCGTGTACTATCATCCCCGGAGCCGGGACATCCCCGTGTACTATCACCGGAGCCGGGACATCCCCGTGTACTATCACCAGAGCCGGGACATGTACCCCAGAGCCGGGTGTACTATCACCGGAGCCGGGACATCCCCGTGTACTATCACCGGAGCCGGGACATCCCCGTGTACTATCACCGGAGCCGGGACATCCCCGTGTACTATCACCGGAGCCGGGACATCCCCGTGTACTATCACCGGAGCCGGGACATCCCCGTGTACTATCACCGGAGCCGGGACATCCCCGTGTACTATCACCGGAGCCGGGACATCCCCGTGTACTATCACCGGAGCCGGGACATCCCCGTGTACTATCACCGGAGCCGGGACATCCCCGTGTACTATCACCGGAGCCGGGACATCCCCGTGTACTATCACCAGAGCCGGGACATCCCCGTGTACTATCACCAGAGCCGGGACATCCCCGTGTACTATCACCGGAGCCGGGACATCCCCGTGTACTATCACCGGAGCCGGGACATCCCCGTGTACTATCACCGGAGCCGGGACATCCCCGTGTACTATCACCGGAGCCGGGACATCCCCGTGTACTATCACCGGAGCCGGGACATCCCCGTGTACTATCACCGGAGCCGGGACATCCCCGTGTACTATCACCGGAGCCGGGACATCCCCGTGTACTATCACCGGAGCCGGGACATCCCCGTGTACTATCACCGGAGCCGGGATAGAGGACATCAGCAGGATTCCTGGGGACAGATGTAGATCTATACTCAGACAAAAAAGTTATTGAAAAAAAAAACAAAAAAAAATAGAAGAAATTGTCAGCCTCGGCGGTCACTCGAAGCACAACGGCGGTCAGCCTCGGCGGTCACTTGGCACACCCGGCGGTCACTCAGCACACTCGGCAGTCTCTCGGTACACTCGGCGGTCACTCGGCACACACGGCGGTCACTCGGCGGTCTCAGCGGTCACTCGGCACACTCGGCGGTCACTCACACTTCGGGCGGTCTCTCGGTACACTCGGCGGTCACTCGGCACACTTGGTCTCTCGGTACACTCGGCGGTCACTCGGCACACACGGCGGTCACTCGGCGGTCACTCGGCACACTCGGCGGTCTCTCGGCACACTCGGCGGTCACTCGGCACACTCGGTGGTCACTCGGCACACTCGGCGGTCTCTCGGCACACGCGGCGGTCACTCGGCGGTCACTCGGCACACTCAGCGGTCACTTGGCGGTCACTCGGCACACTCAGCGGTCACTCGGCACACTCGGCGGTTACTCGGTGGTCACACACTCGGCACACACGGCGGTCACTCGGTGGTCACTCGGCACACTCGGCGGTCACTCGGCACACTCGGCGGTCACTCGGTACACACGGCGGTCACTCGGCACACTCGGCGGTCACTCGGCGGTCTCTCAGCACACTCGGCGGTCACTCGGCACACTCGGCGGTTACTCGGCACACTCGGAACACTCGGCGGTCACTCGGTGGTCACTCGGCACACTCAGCAGTCTCTCGGCACACTCGGCGGTCACTCGGTACACTCGGCGGTCACTGGGCACACACGGCGGTCACTCGGCGGTCTCTCTCAGCACACTCGGCGGTCTCTCGGTACATTCGGCGGTGACTCGGTACACTCGGCGGTCTCTCAGCACACTCGGCGGTCACTCGGCACACTCGGCGGTTACTCGGCACACTCGGAACACTCGGCGGTCACTCGGTGGTCACTCGGCACACTCGGCTCTCGGCACACTCGGCGGTCACTCGGTACACTCGGCGGTCTCTCAGCACACTCGACACACTCGGTACACTCGGCGGTCACTCAGCACACTCAGCGGTCACTCGGCACACTCGGTACACTCGGCGGTCACTCGGCACACTCGGCGGTCACTCGGCACACTCGGCACACTCGGCGGTCACTCGACACACTCGGCGGTCTCTCAGCACACTCGGCGGTCTCTCGGTACATTCGGCGGTCACTCGGTACACTCGGCGGTCACTCGGCACACTTGGCGGTCACTCGGCACACTCGGCGGTCTCCACTCAGCACACTCGGCGGTCACTCGGCACATTCGGCGGTCACTCGGCACACTCGGCGGTCACTCGGTACATTCGGCGGTCACTCGGCACACTCGGCGGTCACTCGGTCACACGGCGGTCTCTCGGCACACTCGGCGGTCTCTCAGCACACTCGGCGGTCACTCGGTACATTCGGCGGTCTCTCGGCACACTCGGCGGTCTCTCGGCACACTCGGCGGTCACTCGGTCACTTTTTTCTGTTTCTATGATGTGTTGGGACTTGTAGAGTCCTATAGCTCTGCCGGGACTCTCAGTGTGAAGTACTGCAGTATTGCCATCTGTAGGTGACACCGAGAATTACATTTCCACAGTGTGAGGTCCAACCCCAGACAACACGTCTAACAATGGTGGCCGA